TCAGCAGACTCAACAGTTTTGCAACCGTTTTATGATTGTCTGCTGAGATAGGACCATTCTTCTAGATCTAAAAGTATGATCCAATCAGCGCGAAGGAAACTTCCAACGGTTGCAAAACGAACGTTCTGCTGAACGCAGCCATTTTCTGTATTTCTAGGGGAAAGTAGTAGAAACAGATTTCAACGTTGGTTATTCTGCGTTGCTCTGCACGCAGCGCGCAGCGTAGTTGTCTTCCGGTAGAAACTCGCGTGTATCTCCTGTGTGTGACTCTTTTCCGGTAAGGTCCCAAGATGACGGGCTTCAGCGAGAAGGTTGGTATCCAGAAATTCGATATTTCTGATGGTTTAAGTAACTCCTACGCGGTGTATGTACGCGATCGCAATTACTTAACATGTGGAGTAACGCACGAGTCTTTTGATGTTCCTCGGAAATTTGCTGTTACCAAAAAAAAAAGCTACTTCGCGCTACTAAACGTCATGCACGTGGTAGCATCCGAAGCTGATCATATATTCCACGCGGAGATCGGAACGCATTGTATATCGAACGGTATAAATTCCATAGATTTGATTTTTTCGATATATTTTCGTGCTCCAAATCGCGTGTATTGTGAATCTTGTGGCTCGCGTATAATACTTCTATGTATTATAGGTTTGTTCGCGTTGTTTGCACTTTTTGTACCAAGCATCTTGGCGTTCTTTCTTTTCAACGTCTGAATATGTATTTATCTTAAGTACAAAAATGTTTAGAAATTTCAAGTAACGTAAACATATTTTGTGTCTATCCGCGTTGCTTGAAATGTTTAAAAATTTTTGCACTTAAAATGAGATTTGTATATTCAGGTGTTGAAAAAAAGAGCCGAGATGCTAAGTACAAAGAATGTAAGCAACGCGAATAAACATATTGTAGAAACAAGAATTTGTACTGTACGATGATCAATTTTCAATTTCTGTGGAGGTTATTACTGTTTTAGCCAATATTAATAGATGGCCGTGGCCATTTACTTGGACGATTGGCTGCAATCGTTGCCAAAACCATCCTGCAAGGCAACAAAGTTATTGTCGTACGCAGCGAGCAACTCAACATTAGCGGTAACTTCTTCAGGTTCGTCAAGTCCTTATTAGCCATGTCTTGGGTGCGTTGATTTTGTTTTATTTAGGATACACATAATGTACTATTTTATCCTTGTTCACTAAAACGATGATAAAATGATATATCACGTGATATTTTTTTGTACACAAAATGGAACACACCCTTTTAGTGCTTGATATATGCAATTAAAATCAACAATAATAATTAAAATAATAAAATTTATTAAATTATGAACAAAGAAGGCTAATAGGAGTCAGCGCAGTAATTAAATCTCAACAGTAAATTTGAAATTAATTTAAAGTTTCATATATTTAGTATTTTGACTAATGTATGAATATTTGTCAAAATATTAAATATGTGAAATTTATGATGATTTAAAATTTATTGTTATAATCTAATTACTACGTTGACTTGTATTAACTTTTATTTATTATTTGAATTATAAGGAGTCTTATTGGTTAAATTGATCTATAATATTTATTATTTTATTACCTGATAAGAATTGATAATAACAGCTATTATTAATACTATTTCATTGACTTTATTTCATCGTATAAGAAAATATTGCACGAGTAATAGTATAATTAATATTATTTAGTATTATATATAGTAGAAAATAATGATGATATGGTAATTTGCGTCTGAAATTAGTCTGTTCGATTTTTATGATAGAAATTCTAAATTGAATCATGAAATTTTATGCAATCTTGCTTTAATGTTGAGACAATATAGCGACTAAATGTGTATTTTTTAATTTTCAGGAACAAGTTGAAGTTTATGTCTTTTCTGCGGAAAAGATGTAACGTAAATCCTGCACGTGGTCCATTCCACTTCCGAGCGCCAAGCAAGATCTTCTGGAAAACAGTTCGTGGTACGTACAGTTGAGATTATATTACCATTACGTAAACTAAGGATATCGCACATGATTAACAAACATTTACCTTTACCTACATTATTTGACGAGGTCATGAAAAAAATTATTTTTTATGATGCCAAGATTGCATATGCTATCTTATAATGAAGCAAATATAAGAAGAGATATTAAAAAGACTCGTTTAAACAGGCATGATCCCACATAAGACACAAAGAGGCAAAGATGCTCTTAGGCGACTGAAGGTTTACGAAGGTTGTCCACCACCATATGATCGCAGGAAGCGTGTTGTTGTACCTGGTGCTATGAGAGTGATGTGCCTCAAACCAGGCAGAAAAGTAAGATGTGTTATGTATTTTTAAATTTGTTTAAACTGTCTCTTTTATGCTTGAATTTTGTTTTTGTTTAATGAAAGAACAATGATGGTATGGTAATTTGCGACTGAAATTAGTCTACTTGACTTTCATGATGATCTCATAAACTGAGTTATAAAATTTTATGCAAAATAGTTTGTCGCAATATTGAAGCAATATGGATATTGACATAATTTCAATTTTCAGTACTGTCACGTGGGCAGATTGTCTCATGAAGTTGGATGGAAATATAAGGATGTGGTCCGCACGTTGGAGAACAAGAGGCGTGCCAGAGCCATTATTGAAGTTCAAAAGAGGAACAAACTTAAGGTAATTAATACATCAAAGATTTAGTCATATAAGAATATTTCACGTCCACTTTCTTTCCAAAGATTTTTTTATGTATGTAAAAATATTCGAGATTTACTGATTAATTTTTTTGCAGAAACTTACCAAGCAAGCTGGTGAATCAGTTGTTAAAGCAACGGCACCGTACACAGCGATCATCAATAATTTTGGATATAATTAACATACATGTTACAAAAACAAAAAATAAAGTCTCTTAAATATCTTAATCCAGAATACTCTTTCACCCACAAACTTGGCATAAAAAATTGAAATGCGTACAGAATCGTGTAAGGAAAACAATTTTATTAAAGCAAAAATAAATTAAAATTCTTAGAATTAATTTTTCGTGCATATTCACAAAATTTAACAGTCTTTGTTAGCTTTCTATAGAATCTACAGTAAATACAACTGTTCCACTTCTGTCGTTATCTTCCTCATCGTGCACTTCATGTTCCTCTTCATCATCAGAAGAAGATGAAGAGAGTAAACCGTTTGTATATTGTGTGCGGTAATTGCCTACATTTCGCGATGTAGGACCAATACTATGTCCTATTTGATCAGCTAGACGTTCCACTGCATGTTTCGCTTGAATTTCCTGTTAAATATTAAAATATTTGATATCAATATTTTTTTCTATTATAGTTTTGTAGTTTAACAAAAAATGTTTTCCCTGAAAAGAATGAAAAAATATAAAATGGAAAATATTAAATACCTGTAATTTTTCAGTTTGTTCTTTCTGTAATTTTAAAGATTCATTCAAATTCAGAACCTTAGCTGCTCCATGAACTATAAGAGGCGGTGTAGCTGCTGTGACCTCCCAATTTTTATGCAATTTTCTTTGTTTTTCCTTCATTGGATCATGTACGTTGCTCTTTGTTGTTTTATATGGTTTAAACGGCTCCCTTTTTTTTACTTCCTGTGTCTTCTCTACTTTATCAACGATATACTTGACATGCTCTGTGTCTAAAGGATCTGTTTTAAAGGTTTCAATCTCTGCTATGTCTTCAGGTTTGATGAGGCTTTCTTCAGGTGCCACATGTATAAGTTTCTTCCTGTGAACACCAGTTCCTGTAGGCTGTTAAAACATAATAAACCATATGTATATTATATCAATTGACGAAAGACAATTGGACGATATTGGATATTACCAATGTTTTAAACAAGATCTATCAACCTGAGCTAATATTTTTAGTGGATCCTCCTCATCGTCACTATCCAAATCAATGATTTTAGTCGTATTTTCATCATCCTTTTCATTATATTTTCCTGTCCATTCCAATTTGCTCATAGCTGCTTTGCCTTCGGATGCTATATTAAGCCGTGACAGCGCATTAGCTGCTTCTTCCATCTCATTTCTGTGTTCAAGTTCCTTCTGTATCTTATTGTAGAAGCTTATAATTTTCTCTCCTTTGTCGGGAAGCTTTGAGATAAATTTTCTGAAAAAACGAGATGCTACAGGATTATTCGAAACGTTGAGATACAATAGTTTAATTCCTACCTACTTATTAGCAAGAATTCTTTTCTGCCTTTCTAAAAGCTCTTCCAACTGAAATTTCTGTTTCTTTTTTAAATCATCAATATAGCCTTGGCTTTCCTTCTTCGAAGGGGGCACATCGCCAGGTATTTTTGAATTTGTCGGGAACATATTTTTATTATTAAATTTTTTAAAGCGGAACAATCGCTTTGGCCGAAACCAACATAGCGAAAGGTTATGTAAAATGTATTATAACTGCTATCTCTTAACAATCATATATGCACGTTCAAAATTTTACGCAAAATTAAGGAAGAACTTGGAGAAGGAATTAGAATAAGAATTAGATAAATTGGAATTCAAACAAATTCGTAGCGCAAAGTGACACAAAAACCCGATGGACTGTTGCAAAATATCTTGTAATTAAAATTGAAGATACGAGAACAAGAATGTATCAAGAATGTTTCACGCTTAGTTTAACAGCATGACGATGTCGCGAAGAAGCACAATTCTCGGAACGATCGGCTTTGAAAAGCATTTCAAACGGAATTGAATGGAATACTACGTTTCATTCTATTCAAGTGAAACGAAGTAAACGAACGAGCGAAGTTGTCATTAGGATTAGGCCTGTCCTTTTTGGCCGAACTTTTGCACCGGTACATCTTTCTTCCTTTTCTCTTCAGGAAGAAAGAAGAGGAAGAAAGATGAACTGGTGCAAAAGTTCAGCCAAAAAGAACAGGCCTATTGCGCTTTCTGCACCTTAAAACGGGATGAATACACAGGCTGTGTTCCAAAATTTACTGCCAGTACTGAAAATCTATAATGCACGTAACGTAAACGAAAATAGATTTTCAGTACTGGCAGTAAATTTTGGAACACAGTCATAATTTGGCGTTGAAGAGAAAAGGAGAAATAAAAAGTGTAGGTGCAGAGAATAAACGCACAGCCAATCGGAGTATGTTGAAAAGCGACGAATATCGCGACGACACGATATATCGAGAGCCCCACTTTTCCACGAATCGATACAAAACGGTACATCGCAACAATTACACTTTCCGCACTCCTCGTCCTTCTTCTTTCTCACTTCGACGCGCAATCGTGCGATAATCTCTCGTGTTTCAAGTGCGAAAAGTGTAAGTAAGTGCAGTTTAAGGAACAGATGTCCAAAGAATCCCAACCTCAATGGAGCTGAAGAGTGCGAGGTGAACGATGCTCATGGATGTTCGGCTCGTCTTTTTATTGTCTCTGAGTCCGCGCTAGTTAGAGTCACCTGTCCGCTCGCGGCGGGTTCGACGAAACCCGGATCGCCGAGCGACTTGGCAGAGGGTTCCTATATGCGCGCCGGCGAGAGAGGGACGAGGAGTTATGACCGTGGGCCCGATCGGGAGCAGCGAGTTCGCGAGGCGCACCGCCAGTCCTTAGAAACGATGAACTGCAATGGGGGATCGTCCGTGACTGGCGAGGCATGCAAGGCGGGCGCTTCCGTGGACAGCAGACCGATCGTCACCTGTGAGTTCCGCCGCGATTGTCTCCCCCGCTCCGCCCCTCCGTGTCGTGCTGATAACGCGACATTCAGGCACCGTTCTTGACGCCTCCCCGTCCATCTGTCAATCCTCGTGACAATGTTTCTCGTTTTCTTTCGTCCAACTAGGATAATCGATGTCCGGATAAAATTTATAGCATCAATAATGCGTGCCTCTGGATTTTCCTTTTCTTAAGGAACATATGTCAACTTTATGTCTTCATTAGGAAAATACATCGTTCGAACTATTATTATTATTATTATATTATTTTAGATAATTTAATATCCTGCAAGACTTAATTTAGTATTTCGCTCAATTCCCTTAATTCTTGTTATCGATGTCACGTATAATTTTAATTTAAGGACCTTCTTTCCAATATAACTTCTTGCATGGTTTATTTTTTTCTCTTTGGAGAAAAAAAGAAAAGATGCAAAAAGTTTAGTTAAAAAGAGGCCTGCATTCATGTAGCAAAAGTACAAAGTGGACTTTGCAACAGTTTCTTATAACACAAATGAGTAATCTAATGCATGTAGGATGTTATTCTGACCTATGCAAATGTGCTGCTTCTTTTCTTAAGGCAGGTGACATTGGATTGGAATATAATAATTCTTTTGTGTGGTGATGCAGGTGCTGGGGATGAAAATTTATTTTCTACATTGGAAAAGAATTTATTCCAAGCTATACCTACGGATACAGTAGAATGGCGCCGGTCGTTCAGCAGTCCAATTAAACAAGTCAAACTTGGGGCTACTTTTGTGCCATTTTCCAGAGATATTTTGCCTACTGACAAAGATTGGCATCTCATAAAGCAACCAATCTTTCATATTTATTGGACAGAATGTTCTGTAAGTTCTCTATTTGAATTAGTTTCTTATTACATATAACATATTTGTATATAGAATGATATATGTCTATCATTTATTATATTAAAAATATATTAACAATTATATTTTAGATTTATTAAAATAATATTAAAATTATATTAAACAAAAAGTTATTATTGATATTAGAAGTATCTGTATATTATAATATTTGATATTTATGTTCTTAATAATTCAACAAATAAATTTTCATATTATATATTCTTATAGGATGTTGATACTTATAAGACTAGTGTCAGAGATGATATTGATGCTTGGTTAAAAATACTGAATTTATATCATATTCAAGATTGGATGATTGTATTGGTAGAAACATATGATGTAAAGAAGGCCAATAAGTTGTTGCCTAGGACTACTGTCTTAGATAAAATACGAAGTGACTTTGCCGCCAAAAATGGCGACAGGTAATACAATATGATCTTTTATATTTAATCCTTCGTGGTCACACGTTAAAATACTTTTTTTTTGCGCAAATGGCTGTTAGACACATACTAACGGTCCGATTAAAAAGCTAAGCATCTCTATCGATGCTAAACGTCTCCATAATTGAAGCTTCAAACCTTCAGTCGATGGCAGGTACATGCCCTTCCGATGCCAGGAAGTTCATCTTTCATCTAGCGTGAAAGAAATGCTCGGGTTTCTTTCACGCTAGGGTCATTTTGACCCCGAATGACCACGAAGGGTTAATCTTGTAACATAATATAGAAGTGTATTTAATTCATAATCTGTTTGACAGATGCTTTGCTGTAATTAATCCAATTAAATCTGAATCTCGTTCTGCGGAATCATGGAGAGGCTTGATAACTCGTATTCGTCATTTGATGTTGACTGCATATGACAGAACCCTGTCGCGTTTTGAAGATATTATACGTGAACAGAGAGAAAGGCGGAACAATCCTAGTTGGAATTTCTGCCATTATTTTCTTCTACAGGTAATATAATTGCTACAAATTTTCATCTCTGCTGAATTATCTCATAAAGTTAAATGATAAATAAAATTTGGACTCCTGATCGAAATGGATTATTATATATCTAGTCTTTTCATTTATAATCTTTCGTAATACACTCAGTTTTCCAATCTCTTATAAAAGAGAATATACTTGACTAGTAACTAATATACTTGAGATTAAGGTTGAGATTAAACTCAAGACTCGTTGACGAGTCGACCGTTCTCATACGGAGCGACATGTTACCTTCTGAATTTTTAAATATCAATTTTGAAAATTTTGAAACTTGTACTTTTCCCATTATTCAATTGAATTGGCATTTTAGGAAGAATTGGCATTTGTATTGCAAATGCTGGGTTTGTACGATGAGGCATTGGTGCAGTATGATGAACTAGACGCTCTCTTTACACAGTTTGTGCTCAATTCTAATGTAGGAGGTATTGTGGTTCTTTTTTAATATTTAGTTTGTATTGAAGGTATACATTATGTAATGAAAACAGATATTGAGATGCAAAGTAAAAACCTAAATGTAGATAAACTATTTATAGATACTCCAGGATGGTTAGGTCTGTTTCAAACGCCTCTGAATAACTGGGGAGGTGTGAATTTAAATAACAGTACAAACCATCGTCTGAGGTTTCTTTTGGCTGAATGTAGGGCATCTTTATTAGATCTTAGGAGTTATTTGTTTAGTAGACAATGTGCCATGCTACTCCTGCTTAATAAACCTTGGGAGGTTCGTATAAATTCAACAAATTATTGGTAATTAATGGCTTCATATAATTATAATATTTTATAATTATTATTGAATATTCTTGACAGGTTGCACAAAGGTGCTTATCGTTTATTCATAATACATTAAGCGAGCTAAGAATCTTAGAAGTACAGAAACCTGAGGGCTCTATAGAATGCTGGTCATTCCTCTGTGCGTTAGAGGTCTTGCAAGCATGTCAATTGTGCACCAATAATATCGATAACACTCAACAATTAGACTTGTGCTCTTTACATACAGCTAGCTTGTGGGCACTTGCAAGAGACAAGGTAAATAATTTGCTCTATTATGTTTAACATGATTTTATATATTTATTATTTGCTAATAAATAATTAAATGACATGTAATCCTCTCCTTGGATTATTTCTATTACATATGTTTTTTATATATATCGTATTATGTGTATATTTTTCTTTTTAGTTAGGAAACTTAGGAAAATTGTGCGGCCTAATGCCAGGAAGTGAACCGACTAGTGAACAGTTGCATACAGTTGTGTATCTTATAGCAGGTATAGGGGATTCAGAGCCGCAGGTAGAAAGAAAGTTAACCCCTACAGACAAGTTAAAAGAGGCACTTTCATCTAAAGAAGCATTCAAGAAACAGTATTTGGAGCATGCAGAATTAGCCATGGGCACATACAAACATGTCGGTCGTATTCGATCAGCCAGATTAATTGGCAAAGAATTGGCACGATTTTACAGTGAACTCGGAGAAAATCAGAAAGCAGTTGCGTTTTTATCTGATGCTTTAAAAACTTATATGGACGAAGGATGGTATCACTTGGCAGTGCAAACACAGTTGGAGCTAGCCGAGTGTTACAAACGGATGGACGACGTCGAGAAATATACTAAAGTGTGCGCGGCAGTAGCTAGCGCAAGTCTTTTGCATATAACTGTACGCAATACATATTTGGAAGAAATGTTAGGATATATGAAAATGATCTCTTCACCTCAACCATTACTCGCGGAACTCGGATGTGCTTTTACAATACTCAGTATGGAAGCTAAAGTAATGGATAAGATAGTTCAAGACTGTGTAATTAACATTGAAATTAGTGTACAGAGTTTGTTTCCTCGGGAAGTAAGATGCACTAGCGCCGCTATTTCTGTAGAGGAAATACAAAAGCCATCTATACCTAATAAGAAAAAAGGATCAAAATCATCTCTTGACCCTCCAGTTCAATTGTAAGTATTAATGAAATTATAAATATTTTTATTTACAAACATTTCTGTGTATATAATGCTTAATATGTACTACTAGAGAAGAATTTCTAAAAAGAAATTGTAAAGAGTAATGTATTTACATTGTTATTTTAATATCATATATTTACAATAGTGCTTATTTTATTTTTTTTAGTATTTTTTATTTTCTATATGTTAAATTTTTTTGCAGGTTATCAAAGTGCACATTAGAAGATATGAAACTACTTGATCTCAGTTTATTACGTTTGCAAGTATATTCTTATTTGGATTACAAGGAAGATAGAAGCCTTGGTTCTGCTAGCATTATTAGTAAAAATATGAAACCGCTCGTGAGACGTTCAGATAGCGCAAAACATAGAAAACCTTCAATTAATATAAAGGGTGATTTTAGCAAAGCACTTTCCTGTGATGAATTTGTTATGAAACCCGGTATAAATACATTTGTCTTAACAAGACGAGTGAATCAACCGGGTTTGTATAAAGTTAGCCAGTTATCATTGGTGATAGAAGAAAAATTAGAGTTTTTATCATCTGTACTAAATCCACGATTATGCTATGAAGTAGCAAAGACACAGCCAACGATATCCGTAAAATGTGGCAGAGATTTATTGGCAGGCCTTACTCAAGATATTGAATTGGTTATATCGAGCGGAAGTACAAAAATAACCGAAGAAATGAAATTAAAATTACGTACGTCACGCGGATTGACAGTACAGTCACAAAATGTTGAAAAAGTAATGGTAAAAGAGTTAGAGATACCACTGCCAACGTGCGAACCATTTCAAATCATAAAAATACAGTTAAAGATTTTAGCTGAACTACCACCAAAAAAGGATGCTTCATCTATGGAACATAAAGTATTTAACATTTGTAATTTATATTATTCTCTTTTATGCAATAAATATCATAACTCGACTTTGTTTTCAGTTGAATATTCAATGTCCATGGGGTTCAGAAGAAAGCATACCTTTACATTTTGGTCCACCATTGATGTCAAGTATGAAACTTCATACAGCAAAACAAACAAAATTCATTCAAATAGTCATAACTGGTTTGACAAATCAGCTTTTACAATTAACTGAGCCTGAATTAATGACAATTTCGTCAATAGACGTTAATTTTAAAAGTTTAAATCCTGTCGCGGGTCAGAAATTAGTTATAGGTAATGGAATGAACGTTTCCTTTATGTGGAAACTTGAAATTGGGAAAGATGAGAAATCCACGATACCAATAAAGACTGACTTTCGTGTAAAATATATATCAGTTAATGATACTGAAGAATTAAATGATTCACATGTTGATGATGATCCACTACACATACATAATCTAGAAAGAATTGAGAAAGCATGTAGTGTTTACAGATGCAACTTTGATATTACAGATTATGTGGTAAGAAAAACTACTCATTATTAATTGATATGTTAAATGTATATAATTACATATTATATACCTTCTTCAAAATATTTTATTTATCTTAAATAAGAAGTCATACATTAATGGTAATCTGTAAATAATGTAGTATCTATGCTACTTGTAACAATTTACGCTCTGTATTCTTATTATATATTAGGAATATATAACTTATTTTTGTAACGATGCTTTCCAGACTTTATTCACAGTATCCTCGAAAGTCGAAACAAGTGGTGGAGAGTTTTGTCGTGCTGGTAGTATGTGTCACTTGTGTCTTACAGTGATGCGCATGCCTAGTCTAAGTTCAAATCCTCCACCACAGTTAATGTATGAGGTTTTGGCGGACCAAACTATGTGGGCGGTATGTGGTCGGACAGCAGGCATTGTATCGTTAGAAATAGTAGAGAAACAAAGCGTTACGTTAGATGTAATGCCTCTGACAAGTGGTTATTTGCCTCTCCCTGTTGTTAGATTATCTCGGTATATACCTGCAACAGAATCGAAAAATGGTAAGTTTAAATGTTTTGCATAATATGCCTAAATATTACGTACATTATTTAATTTGTGAACAAATATCTAATTTTCATCGAAAATCATCAACTATAATTTTAAAGAAAAAGATATTATGTTTACCTCTAAGTTGTATGAATTTTTATAATTGTTTTGTTTCCATTTTAAGATATCGTCCGTAATAAAAATGATTTAGGATCTGGTCCTCGATTAGAACCATTTAGTCCGGGACAAGTGTATAATGCCAGTAAAGCACAACAGGTGCATGTTCTGCCAGCAGCTCCATCAGAATCTAATTAAAGATGTATAAATTGTTGTTAAAGATGTATACATGTTCTTTGATTTTGTGCGTAACGAATCATGAACATCTTTATTTAGGAAGAGTTTTAGAAGTAATTGCAAAGTTGTTTTTTGTATCAAAATGAATATATAATTATGTAAATACCTCATTTTAAATTCATATAGTAAATAAGACTTATGTTATCATACAAATTAATATTTTGAAATAACCAAATCGGCGTTAAGTATAATAGTTTAATATTTATTTATTTCTGTAAGATTTACAGTTCACTTCAATTCTCTATTACCAAAGCCACTCATCTTTCAAAAAAATATGAACTTTTTGATTAATAATTATGATAATGATGCCATAAAATGTCCTTATTTAAAAATTATGAAGATTCTAAAGCTTCTAGCTAAGTATATACTCGAATTTTGTATTGAAACATTGTATTTAATATATATATATAATTATTACATTTTATAATTGAATTACATTTTATCTGAAAGTAACCATGTAATTGCAATAATATGAGGTATCTAGGATATATTGAAAAAAATATAAAAAATATTCTACTTCTCGACAATTCTCAATGATTCAGTTGTGATAAATATTGAGGAAGCTAGCTAACGTATGTTCTAAATTATGTACTTATATGTTTTTGTCATTTTACATTACGCATATGATTTTCTTTCATTTTCTATTTTCTTTTTTGCTCCACATTTATTTACAATTTAACAACAGCTGAATCTTGTTTGCTCTGCTATCATTTTTTTTATTTAAATATTTTAGTACCGTCTTAGTATCTTAAGAAAGATGGTAATATAAGAATTTTTCTTTTATAAAATACAAATACATGTAAAATTTGTACAAATACTTGTTAGCAATATACTCATAAGCTTGTGAATAAATGTTACATATTTTTACTATGTTAAATTGTAACATATAGTAAATCCTTATGGACATAAATTTGATACGTAAACTAGGAATTTATTTAATGCTATGTAAAAATATATTGTGTTCGTTTAATAATACAGTTCAATTAAAAAATATATCTATGAAGAAAAACAATTTATATCATATTTGTTAGTGCTTGTTCATCAGAATTGGATTACTAGATACATTTTTCTTGTGTTGCCATGTTTTCTAGAATATTATTGATTTTCTATTTATAATTTTTTAATTTTATAATTGTAAGACAATCACAAAATACTCTCGATTATTCATAGTCATTAAGTTGCAGATATTTAAAAAATTTATACAAAACTGTTTATTATATCAATTTTTTGTGGAAAATATTTCTATTAAATAACATAATACATTTATGCTATCTATTGTATTTATTACATATTTAGCAAAAATATCTATTTTTATTATATTTGTTGATCCTACGTTTAAAATATATATAATCAAATCGTTTTTTAATATAATAATGATAATATAATTTTTGTGGTAATATGTTGTACCAAATATTTATATATATATATATATATATATATACATAGATATATAAAAATTGGGGATGCATAGTTAATAAAATATACTTTAATCAAATATTTTATTGTGTTATATTCTAAATAAAATGTCATTATTACTTGAATAAAGCTACTTTTATGTTTCTAAAATATTGCAAAAGATCGCGTATAAGTTTAAATTAACTAAAATATATATTTAATTATATTTTTCTAATATTTGTTAAAAAATTCAGTTTAATCAGTTTAATATTCTTAGAATTGTAATTTAAATTTATATATTACATTTCCTATGCAAAAAAGGACTTCATTTATAATATTCAAATAATAAATTTTTACAATGTCCTAATTTAATACTCAAAATTGTGTGTGTTGCAATACATATTTAAAAAATAAACATAAATTAGATATTACGTACATCGTATCTATTTAAACAAATTTGTAATATTACATCTTAGTTTCTTTTCGATTAGAGTTATACATAAGCATATATTTGCATTCATTTTATATGAATATAGATATCATATTGACATTTCAACCACAGACACACATACACGAATTGTGATTATAATCTTCAAAATTCATAAAAATGGAAAATCAATTTGCATAAAATTTATTTTTACGCAAAAATCATGTTTAATTTATTTTTTATTTTAGAATATATATATTCTATCAACTATGCATATCCATTTTAAAAGTTACGTAATTATGCGTTATTCTAAATAACGTTGACAATTAAATGCTTGCATTTGATGTATAATTGTGATAAAGGATATTGTATAGATTTTGTTATATTTTTTAATATTAATAAATGAAATAAAATCATCATTAATATGTTAATAATTAAGAATAGAATTGTAAAATAGTTGAGTGGATATCCGCTTTATATTTAAAATTTTTGTTATAGGGGAGAGTGTCTAAATCGGATCGTGTTCCAAATAGGATCTTTTTAATTTAAATGAATAAATTTAATTTAAATGGTTAACCAGATTTGCATACTATTTATAATGTAAAGTCCTTATAAGACACCGAACATGTTATACAGTTTGACAGTTCTCTGTCATAACGTTCATAAAATAGAGGCAAATATGTATTTTCAGCCATCGTGCGAAAATTAAAAAAAAATTACAGTTTAACACAGATGAGAGTTACGTCAAAATAATCTCAAGCAAAAATGAAGGGAATTAAATGATCTTTCCAACGGCACCTTCGATTTTACGATCGGACTTTATTTACACCTTATAGAGAGCAAAAACTGCAAACAAGTCTGATTTAGATCACTCTTCCCTATATCATAGTATATGTTCAGTACGTTATTAATTCAGCAAGCTTTAGCATGTATGCTATTCATGTTAAAGTAATAAGATTGCAAATAAGCAATCCATTTTGGAAATAAAATTATTATATTTTGCAAGTCAGGAATAGTACTGTGTATATAAGTTTTTATTTTTTATATAATGTGCAAAGATAATAAACTGTAAATGAAATTTGTACAGTAAATATATATATCGACAATGAATATTAAGATGTCAGAAATGATTTATTTACTATCAACGGAACAAAACAATATACAAAATAATTTACATCTAAGTTATTACATTGAAGTTTTCAATAGAAATATAACTTCTTGTTAAGGTCGTTATGAAATTGTAATGGTATGATACTGGATGCAATTCCATGCAGAATAATCTTGAGTACAGAGATTTTTCCTCGTTATCATTAAAGGAAGTTGTGGGTGTAAAAGTTGAACCATCCCTTTACTGAAAGAGATACTGATTATCATACTTGGTTGTATCAGGCCACATCATAACACTTTCTTTCATTCGTATTTTATATCTTCAAATAAAATTAATTTTATATTTAATATTAGTAGCTAGGTTGTGGTTGCTGCGTCAACAATAAACCAAATCTTCTTTTCATTGTAATCCTTTCTCTTGAATATTTGTCCTCTACAGAAAATCGAGCTATAAAAACATTCAATATTAAGCTGTTTTTTATTTTTTAGATCTATATGAAGTATCTATGTAACAAAAATGTAAAAATTTACCTGGATGTGCAGACATCGTAGGCTTTCCATTAGGGTCTACTTTCTGTAAAAATTTAGCAATTAAAAAATGAAAAAAAATATAAAATCAGCTAAAAAGATTGTTATAAAAGAAAGAAAATTGGCATAGAAGAAATAACGTTAATGTACAGAATCAGTATTTGAAAAGATTACACAAAGATATATGTAATAATATACCTATATTTAATTCTATTGTGAATATGCTAATTCATATTGCAATATATTCTACCATACTATAGATGTGTTTAGGGAGCACTAGCTATGTTATTCCATTCTTATTTTAATCCTTTGTTTTAATGCTTTATCATGAAAATAAATAGCTAACAGCATCTTCCAGAAGGCATGCTATATTGTCACGAGAAATAATATATTGGATTGGGAAGTAATGCGTTCTTTGTAGCATCGTTACTATTACTTTTTATTAACTAAGGAATTGGTAACGTTATATTTTTTCCTGGTAACGATAATACAGTTACAAGTTAGGTAATGAATATAATCACATGTCTTTTACATTACTTTATACACATGCAATAAGTACATGTATGGGACATATATAAGAGAAATTTTCAAAGAAAGAAGGTTTGATATGTTCGATTATATTCGATTGCAATCAAACTCATAATAATTTATTTTTTACAATGAGTAACTCTTTAACTTTCCTAACCTTACATATATATATATGTATATACATTGCGATGTAACATGTCTCAAGAAATTACCTGTAAAGTGTATACTCGGTTTCCTTTGTCATCCAAATAATACATTAGATACATGTTTGGATATTGCTTCGACTTGCAATCCTTTGTAACTTAACCTCCGTACAATCACACTTGATGCTTTGGCAGACAAAACGTGAACGGAATATGAACGCGACAGCCAATAATCTATACCGGAAAAGTGTTTGATTGGTTGTCGCGCCGCTTCTTGCCACGTGGTCGCAAGTCATCGTTTCCTGTATAAATGGCTATTGGCGCGGTACAAAGTCAGTTTGAATTTTTTGTCTATATTTCTCGTTATATTGTACTTGTTTCGCGCGGCATGTTAGATACGCTTGCTAACAAAATATTTCGAGTATGCTATGAAAAACAACTATGAGAAAACCTGTTTACAATTAGTCAACAGATTTATTCTTTTCAGCTAAACTTCTTGTACTGGTCATCTCTCTCTTTCCATCTTATCTCTTTAATGTGAAAAGAAAAAGAAGAAAAATGAATAATGCAAGAAGTTCAAAAGAACAAATTAAATGTGTTTCGACAGTTGATGTTTATCCAGTTGTTGGTTTATGTGTGAAGTATATGTATGGAGGAAACGATTACTCACAGACGAAAAATAAAGCATGTCATCTTCTGTAATTATTATATACATAATTGATTTCTTTAGGTCATGACAAGCAGGAAATTGTTGCACGTAGTCGCAGACCTGTTCTTTCTGTTTCACCATAATTAATACATTTCGAAAAAAGTAATGAAAGATGAAGAAAATATGATGTTTAAGATTCTGCGTGATAAGAGCAAAAATAAAATTCTCGAGTCTACAGTCTTTTGCAGAGAAAATTTTAAAATTTTTGGATTAATATAATATTACACATATACAATTTAATATTTGGATTAATATGTCAAAAATTTAAAGCAATTTTTCGATTTAAAATAAAGTTATTACACCGACTTTTTAAAATAACAAAGATGGTTGGAAAAATATGATTTATATTTTTATTTTTTACAATGCCAAAATTTTTTTACAGAGAAGCCAAAATTTTAATTTAAATTTTTTATCCTTAATTCACTTTTTGTTTTTACTTTTATTTCTATATTTACATCTTATTATTACTTACAGAATAATTATTCTAATTTCTTAAATATATCCTTAAAATTTGAAAAATGAAATGTTAATTTTTGTAAGAATTATAATACATTCATGTTCGTGTTTATGGATTAACAATATAAAGTGAAAATGGATCGAGAAATTATTTAGTGCTTTAAAGATGCTTATTAGCATCAATAATATTAAATTGCTTGTCAATTTAATTTGTGAGATTATGTGCTCCAGTCTAAGATTGCGTTTCAAGATCGACATAAATATAATCAATTTGTTTTCAACTAAAAATTCCTACAATATATTATTAGACAAAACAAATTTTGACCGAATATGGTCCTCTTCATTCATTTAAATTACACGTAGTCACAATTCAGAGATTTAAACGGAGCACGGAATATCTCTCGTGAATATCCCTCCGTTCATATTTCAACGTCTTATAATTACAAATCAATCATCTCAATCCCTCATAATTGACAAATGATCGATCCACCGATGACGTTTTCACCCAGGCATAAAGACCGTTTCCGGATTGCTCCGAGAAATCTCAAGGAAAAGCGAATAAAGAGGCACTCGAGAGATTGCACGCAGAAGAGCCGACTCGCATGTATATATTTATTATCATGTTTATTATCGGGTCTTATGCCGCGTGACAGGTTGCCGGCCGCGAACGTAGGCGTGATGACGTTCTCCGGTGATTAGCCGAGAGGCATCCACGGCGGGATCGCACCGGTTGCGGCTGCTGCGGCGAGTACCGAGCGTGTATGTGCGCGCTGATTGACAATTCCTCCTCGTGGCTAGGAGTTGACGTATAGTGGGCACGCGCTCGGACGCGACGAGTGCCCCGTCCGGATAGTCAGTGTCACTTCCGCTGACCAAATCGCTGTCAGGATTTACGTCCGCCAGCTTTATCGTCCAGTCCACGAAGCCCGGTGGAACGTTCTTCGAACGAGAAACGACAAAACGAAAGAACGCGTTCCTCTCCGATGTTGCGCGGCCGTTTTCAAGGTGAACGATTGTTCCTACGGGAACCTGTCGATTAGGTGCGAAATGACGCGTTCCCCGCGTCGCGAGTGCGATTTCGCGGTCGCGAGAGTGAATCGCGACGACATCGCGAGAGATGTGAATTACTGGGATGCTGGGATTACCGGTGCGTGGAAAACGGCAACACTCTCATGCTGTCATTCGCTGCGCGATGATGTTCTGGCTTTTGTTTCCGTTAATGATTATACAATAGGAAGCACGTAATCGTCCGCAATTTGTGCGAGTGTGTACAGGTGGAGGTCACCCACAGGTGTTCGCGTAACAAATCGCAATCACACGAGGCTATCACGCTCGTTGTTTTGACCTCGATTAATGGATTTCAAACTTAATTATTAGGAGAATTTCTTTGATTAATTGTAGAAAATATTTCTCTTATTGTGTGATAACTTATCTATAAATTATCTCGAATTATAAAATAGTTTTCGGTAGCTAAATATATATGTAAAAGAACCCAGACAGCACGCTTGTCAGAATGAAAACTTTTAGTTATCTTGAAAATGATGTCCATATGATATCTTATAATAATCATTTATCAGAGGCATCTACTAGAAGAATTCTTTAAGATATCTCACTTCAAAGATTTCTTGTAATTTTTGTCTTTATGATATCATACTAAATAATATCAATTTGTGCTCTCATGAAAGATATCATTATGTTGTACGGTTTTTGAGCTATGCAAATGCGCATGCATCGCTATTATTTGATTCAGAAACTAGAAATAATTATATCTTTTATGAGAAATTCATTTGTTGTTATTTTAAAAGATATCACGAAGATAACTTTATTTTGATACTTTTCTTCATTCACCCACGAACGCGGGATCGCCACCAGACGAACGTGGTTGGGTTCTCGTGTTTGAAAGCCATACGGGATAGAATAAAAGGTGCAGCATTATGAGAAACATAACTTGTGTTCTGACGAACATTCATGAAATATTTTTTGAAAGCAAGTCCTCAAAGGGGACTATGATGAAAGATAATGGCTCTTGTACATGGACATGGCAAGCATTGCAGACATAATGAGATATATATTGACAGTCATATAATTTCGTTTAATTTTATGTAAAAATTAATTCAGATATCTAATGTTATTAAATGTTACATGTGTCAAAATATCAAAATTAAAAGAAATCTTAAAGATGCAACTAAAAGATATTTAGAGAAGTCATCTTTTAGTCATATTTCCGACGATTTTGTGCTCTTTGAATATATAACAAACTTCTTTTAGACATCATAAATACGAACTCTATATGTTAATATACTTTGGATATCATAAAGGTATGCAATTTGAGAAATCTTTTAGATATCATTTTTGTGATATCTTTCTGTTCTCAAAAAACGGTGCATCAGATAACATTCAGATATCTTTATGTGGCTTTTTAGAAATTTCTCTAAGTTATCAGATTCAGAAATGAGATATCTTTTAGAAATCTTTTTGATAATGTGGGGGAACTCCACGCACTAAAAAAATGTTTATAGCAAATAACAGTTAATGATTCTTAAAGTTTTGTATCAATACTTTGCAATTTAAATCTTGTAACGCAAATTTTTGTGGGTTTAAAATAATTAACAAATTTCAATCAAAGAACAATATTAATATAAACGTTTTTTGTTATTTATACAATCAAAATCTAGTTTTAATTTCAATTACATGTCAGGAAAAAAATCCGAAAAAGTTGAATTAGTTTTTGGATTAAAATACAATAACGATGTTTGTGATTGCGATTTATAAGATTTCAGACAACTCGAATCATAAATATTTTCGTGGTAATTTAAAGGTTTGCTACGGATTGCTGTACTACTAATGGAAATAGTGCTTCATTCGTTCGTATTATCGGTGAACCTTCGTCCGTAAAAAATAATCACGCCGATACCGTCGCCGTCGCGGCGGCCTTAAATCAGCCTTACTCTACTAATCTCATTCAGTCTAGCGGCTAGAATCGCAAATCACGCGACACTTCGCGATTCTTAAATATTGTTGGATTATCGACTACTACGCGGTCGATCGTTTCAGATGCAGCGGAGGAAAATTCGTTGGATTATTCAGATACCGGAAGAACCGCAGCGCACTGAGACTGTCGAGCAACAAATCTTAAGTACGAAAGGTAAGAAAATTTGAATAATATAAAAATTCAAGAACTACACATCTAGAAGGGAACTAATCTTTTGAAGAGGACTTTAATTTTTCGAAGAGAATTCTAGTCTTTCAAAAGTCATGAATACCTTCTATTCTAACAAGTTTGGAAATTTTATATTATCTAGTTACGAGTCTAATATCAAATAGAAATTGTGCAAGTTAATTTGTACAGTACAAATGTAATTCATTTTCATTTAATTTAATTTAAATGTCTAACGCACGGAATAAAATTCTTGAAATGTAATAATGTACTACGCGGAATCGGAAATAATGTTTGGACGTGTGTCTTTGATTTGCGCGTTGTGTAACAACGTTTAAATAATATGATTTTCTAGTTATAAATTTAGCAATGTTTTCGTCGACAATGTTTATCTGCAATAAACGGCGTGTAAAACCGAAGACAAGATCTTCTACAAGAGATTGACATAAACTTACATAATTTATTACGTATGTAAATAAACATTCTGTGTGCCGAATGCAGCTCTTTCATGAAACAAAACTGCTGAGTGTATAGATAAGACATTTTAGGCCGATAAAGAAAGGTCGCGACATGAAAATATAGTATACGTTAGGTATAGACAGTCAAATTGATTTTCAATTTGGATCTTCATCTTTTATTAAATTATCGTAAGTGGAAATTTGTGTATAAATAAAAGGTTGAAAAATTTAAAACAATCAGTTTATTGGAAACGGATTTTATTTGGTAACTGTTTATCACTCGCTGTAAAAAAAACAAATGTGTTTTATATAATCAAAATAATATATTCTATAATTTCTAATATACTTTTGTGAGTTATTATAGAATATAATATTCTATAATAATATCAAATTATTTAGTTATACGGTTTGTCAAAATGATGTGTTACATGAATTG